AAAATGTTTGCCCGTGGTCCGTATATTCATGAACGCGTACGCGCCCTCGTCATATGTTCCACGGTCCTTACGCAAGTGCCATAATGGTAACGTGCCATTACTCGGCGCTGTCTTAGCCGATAGCTTGCCGTACAGTTAGGCGATAGGCTCACGTCTTGTGCGTTACGGGACGAGAGTCGATTGTGGTGACCTGTGACCTCGCCCGGTGACCTGACCTTTCAGTGACCTGTAACCCTGTGTGGGTCACAACAGGTGACCTGTGACCTGGTCGCCGATCCGCCATCCCAGCCACGGCGGCGATGGGGGACCACACGGGGGGGGGGACCACACGGGGGGGGACCACACACCCCAGCCACACGGCGGCAGCCAGGGGACACGGCGATGGCTCCGGCTGGGTGTGGCTGGACGTCCGTCGAGGATGCTTGCATACATGGTCGCCGAAATACGGCGTAGGTTTCCGCAAGATGATTGACCAGTTGCCTACAGGCCTCAGCTAAAGGCCACAGCCACTTCATCGAAGTCGACTACAGAATGGCACCGCGTCATCTGAAGTATCAGTGGGAGCGGACTCCAAAGTCGCAGAGGACCGTCCGGAGTCGTAACCGTCCGGAGTCATAACCGTCCGGAGTCGTAACCGAAATGAGCCGCATACGCCGACCGCCGACGTCCGTGCCGACAACGCTGAACCAGAGTCAATCACAGACGCGGCAACGGCGCGAATGCATACGGCGCCGCCAATTCCCCTGTTAATCCCGAGCCGGCACCTCGTCCGGAGCCGGCCAGCTGCCGAAGCGGACCGCTGAGTACCTGCGGGCGGCCGGCCGCACTGGGGACGCCGGCCTGACGTATTGACGATGTACTGGCAGCGGCCCGTTTTTACGCGTCGCTTTTTACCGCACGTCCCAGCCCAACTGGCCACGTGCGCAAAAACGCGAGGCCGATTCGGCGCCGCGCACGCGATCCACGCATCCTTCGCACCGTCCCGAAAACGGGGCTAATGCATTACAGAGCAGCGGCCGGCAACCCTCGTGTGCGGAGGAGGCGGCAAAAACGAGCAATATTGAATGGAGAGCTGAGTTGCAATTGGCCTGACGAGCGCGGCGCTGCTTCTTGTGGCGTCGTGTTATTGGGAAGGCGCCCGGCCGCGCAAGAGGCGTATCGATTGCTCCGCGTCGGAGGTGGCTTACCTGGACCGGGCAGCGGAGATGGTGCTTCGCTGGCGTTACGCTTACTGTTGCCGACTATTTCTGGCTGGCCGGGCCCTCAGTCAGTTCTCGCTGTAGGATGGGCCAGAAGTGTACAGAGACTGCTTCAGGGGATTGAGATTGGAGCGGGACTGGACAGGCCGCTGCTGGGCGTATCGGTTTACCTGCCCGCTGGAACCGGGACTGGATGGAGCCCGGTGTGACCGGGATTGGACGGAGCCCGGTGTGACCGGGATTGGATGGAGTCCGGTGTGACCGAGGCTGGGTGGCGCCCGGTGTGACCGGGACTGGATGGAGCCCGGTGTGACCGGGATTGGATGGAGTTCGGTGTGACCGGGGCTGGGTGGCGCCCGGTTGGCCGTGCGCTGTTTCGGTCCCCCGGCCGCCGCCTGCGGACCGCGAGTCAGGCCGCGCCACTCCTCGCCGCCGCGCCGCCGCTCGCCGCGGGCCGCCGGACCGTCAGACCGCCGCAGGCGATCCGGCCGCGTCTGACGGCTCGCTCGGCCCCGTGTGTCTCTGTTACGGCCAATCAGGAGCCGCCGATGGCGCCTGCTGATCAACCGGTGGGCATTCATCACGGACCGGCTCGCACCGTGCCGCCGCTCGAACTGGCCACGTGGTCTGACGGTCTGCCGTGGTCTGCTGCCGCCGACACCGTCCGTGCTGGATCGATGTTGGAGAGCTGCTGCCCGCAGCAGGAAGACGTTATGTGGAGAATAACTTTTGAAGACTAAGACGTTATGCCGCCCGCGTCGCCGGCTCACCGGCTGATGTGTCACTTCGCATCCTTTTGCCGTCAATACCGTCTCCGTTTCCGTTCACTGAACGAGGCATACGACATGCCGCGCCCAGTAGCCATGCAGTATGACGTCACTGCACCGTAATGCACCGCGCCGTCATTGCACAACGCCGTCACTGCATCACACTGCACCACGCCGCCACTGTACCACACTGCACCACGCCATCACTGCGCCACACTGCACCACGCCGTCACTGCATCACACTGCACCACACCATCACTGCACCACACTGCACCACGCCATCACTGCACCACACTGCACCACGCCGTCACTGCACCACACTGCACCACGCCATCACTGCACCACGGTGCACCGCGCCGTCATTGCACCACACTGCACCGCACCACACTGCACCGCGCCGTCATTGCACCACACTGCACCGCACCACACTACACCACGCCGTCACTGCACCGCACTTGCCTGGATCTGCGGCGTCTCTTACATCCGATCGGTGACAAAGGCATCGGCCCCCGCCCGTTTTACTGTCTTTGACCACTGGTCTTCCTCCCCGGTACTGTGTGTGAACGATTTGCGCACGCTTGCTACTGTCATTTTCAGTCTTCTGTTACCCCTGGAGTTGTGTACACCTGTTTGTTATGCCCAGCTTGCGACCTGGCGCGGCTGAACAACTCACCTCGTGTCAGCCATATCACCTGGTGTTTCCCACCGCCTTTGCTGCAGTGGGTTCACGCTGAAAATGTAACGTAAAAAGTTGCCTGTCACTCAAAAATGGATATCCTATGTGCGACGGAGAAAATTAAAAATGATGGCGCGTCTCAGTTCTAGAGTCACGTCTCAAGCCTGTTGCGGTTGACGTTTTTGACGCATCTTGGATAGCGGCGTATCAACGAACGGCTTCATTACATGGATACTGGCAAGTGCGGGTACACTTTGAGCTATGCTCCCGGAGTGTCTATATGTATCCATACTTTGAGCATTTCGGCTATGCCGCCCAACGCGACCTGGCGTGCACCATCGCTGGTCTGAAATGCATATTGGGACAATACGTTCGTTAAAAGCTATGCAATCCTGAAGTTCAGAATTCCACCGGATTCTAAGATCCATCGTCCATCTTTTTTAACTCTTGCGCCGAAAGTGCCCCACCAGACTAAGGTTTGGATTGCCATCGCATCTCACTTTGTAGATGACTCCGTCCGGAACGTGTCATGTTCCAGCGAGATCCCCGCGTAACACGGCCACCTGTTCCTCTGGTCTGACCACTGTTGTTGTCTCCCGCCGCTGTCGTTACCACGGCCGCGTGTCCCTCTGGTCTGACCACTGTTGTTGTCTCCCGCCGCTGACGTTACCACGGCCGCGTGTCCCTGTGGTCTGACCACTGTTGTTGTCTCCCGCCGCTGTCGTTACCACGGCCGCGTGTCCCTCTGGTCTGACCACTGTTGTTGTCTCCCGCCGCTGTCGTTACCACGGCCGCGTGTCCCTCTGGTCTGACCACTGTTGTTGTCTCCCGCCGCTGTCGTTACCACGGTCGCGTGTCGCTCTGGTCTGACCACTGTTGTCTCCCCATCGCTGCCAGTTTTGGATCCCGACCACCCAGCTGTGCCCAGTCGTAAGTTCCCGGCTGGAGCTGATCTCTCTCAGCACGCAGCACCGTGGCACGCGAGTGCGCGCCAACGCTGGCACGCAGGCACTGGTCGGCCACCCTGAGCGTTTGGCCAGATTGGCAACACCTGAACTGCGGTGTATGCTGGCACAAGGAGGAACATCCACTGCCATTTCAGCTTTTTTCAGTGTCTCTTTCCTACATGTTTTGATTGCTGAAGAGCGGTGGTTCAAGGCACGCTTGTATTACTTCGATGCACGACTATGAGTGGAGAGTGGGTGGCTACGTTACATGTGAATACAAACGCCAACGCGGGCGTCTTGTATGTGGCGCCGCCTCTGACGTCGATGTCGTGCCACCTCTGCGGAGATGTGTCCGGTACCGTCTCTGACGTCGATGTCGTGACACCTCTACAGAGATGTGTCAGGTACCACCTCTGACATCGGTGTCGTGCCACCTCTGCGGAGATGTGTCCGGTACCGCCTCTGATGTCGGTGTCGTGGCACCTCTGCAGAGATGTGTCCGGTACCGTCTCTGACATCGGTGTCATGCCACCTCTGCGGAGCTGTGTCCGGTGCCGTCTCTGACATCGGTGTCGTGACACCTCTGCGGAGATGTGTCCGGTGCTGCCTCTGACGTCGGTGTCGTGCCACCTCTGCGGAGATGTGTCCGGTACCGCCTCTGACGTCGATGTCGTGCCACCTCTGCGGAGATGTGTCCGGTACCGTCTCTGACGTCGATGTCGTGACACCTCTGCAGAGATGTGTCCGGTACCGTCTCTGACATCGGTGTCATGCCACCTCTGCGGAGCTGTGTCACGGTGCCGTCTCTGACATCGGCCTGTCGTGGACACCTCTGCGGAGATGTGTCCGGTGCTGCCTCTGACGTTGGCGTCGGCCACCTCTGCGGAGATGTGTCCGGTACCGCCTCTGACGTCGATGTTGTGCCACCTCGCGGAGATGTGCCCGGTGCTGCCTCTGACGTCGGTGTCGTGCCACTCTGCGGAGATGTCCGGTACGCTCTGACGTCGATGTCGTGCCACCTCTGCAGAGATGTGTCCCGGTGCTGCCTCTGACATCGGGTCATGCACCTCGCGGAGCTGTGTACGGTGGCCGTCTCTGACATCGGTGTCGTGCCACCTCTGCGGAGATGTGTCCGGTGCTGCCTCTGACGTCGATGTCGTGCCACCTCTGCAGAGATGTGTCCGGTGCTGCCTCTGACATCGGGGTCGTGCCATCTCTGCGGAGATGTGTCCGGTACCGCTTGACGTCGATGGTCGTGCCACCTCTGCAGGGAGTGTTCGTGCGCTCTGACGCGTGGTCATGCCGTCCCACAGGAAACTCGGTCCCTCCAAATCGGGCGCCTGCGATCTCGGCATGTCTGCTGTGCCCTCTGCTGGCGTTGCCGACGGAAACGCGCACACGCGACGACCAGCTCTGGCGGCGATGCTGGGCGTACGGACGGCAGACGGCGCCGGTGGCGTGCCTGGCCCCTGCTGCGTGCCCGACGCCATGGACTCGCTCACGCTGCTCTACTTCGACGAGACGCGTCAGAACGTCGTCCTCAAGAACTATCCGAAAATGGTGGTGAAGAGCTGCAGCTGCCGGTAGAGGGCCGGCCGCGCCTCCGACGCCCGGACACTCCCAGTGCGGAGACTGCTCTGGGGAGACTGGCGCGATGCAGACCTCTCGCTCTCAGCTGACCTGCGAGGGTCAAGGACAGCCGGCTGACGGCGGCGGTCGGTGACCGGCGTCCAGAGGAAGCGGGTAGTGCACAGCCGGCGGCCGACACCAAGGCGCTTACGAAGGTGGCCAAGTTCCGGCCAAATCGGCTCGCGTCGCTTCCTAAGACAGCACCCCATCACCCCCTGCGAGGCTGCACCAGTGCCGATGTCTATCTTAGACACAACGGTAGCTAGACACTGCGCTGATTCCTGGCAGCTACTGTGCGCAACTTTCCGCGCCGTACCGGCGCCTTTCTCGCTTCAATTCATCGCAATGCGCTTTAGCACGCCGAAGCGTTGCTTTGACATGGAGCACTGTTCGGCCGGCGCCGAGGCGTTGCTTTGGACACGGCGCACTGTTCGGCCGGCGCCAGCTGCGTGTTCGTTTCGACACCAGTCAGGTGCGCACCAAGGTGTTATCGCGCTGCAGCAATCTTAAAAAATACGGCCCCTGAATGCCGCTTGTATTTGATTTCACTCAGTGGAATCGATTCTGACTGCTGTTTTCACAGTTTTTGAAGCTGATTCTTGTACCGAGAAGGGCAGTACAATTCAGACCCGAGTCAAGGAGTAGAGGCACAATTTTGGAACTTACTCTATTGAGTCTACTCCGGTTCTTGTAGTGGAACTTTTTTGTGGGCTGCGCACGGACTTGGGACACCTATCGTTGTCGAGTAAATGGAAATGTATCATGCTAGTTAATTTACTGCCATAAAACTGGTACAAGCTGTTTGACTTACCGCATCTGTTGTTATGTAGATATATTGCTTTTAAGCCTCTGTCCGATCCAGCTGGCATGCCTCAGTAGCTCCAACGTTCTGAGAATTTCAGGGCAACCGACCGCACGTCAGACACCACTTCATTGAAAGATTTGGCCTTGGGCCGCATATGACGTCACTGGGGAATCTCCGGCTAGGTCGGCTGAATAGGGCCATTTCGACCGTCGGCGATCGGCGCTAATGGTGCGGTTGCCGTGCGTCGCGCTAGGCAACACCTGGCAACAGTATACCTGGCAACAGTATAGTCGCTAAACGCTCCGGATAAATGTATTACTGGTAGAGGCGTCTGGGATGTCGTCCTGGAGTGGCGTACGTTCGGGTAGGAGGAGGACAGTGTTGGAAGTTCGGCGAACGCTGTCCCGCCAGGATCTGTGTGGCTAGTGTAGATGATTTATAGCGCTGTTGTACATGGTCTACCTGCATGTGGTTAGAAGGCTGGTCCATGCAAAGTCCCTGTTGCAGCAAGAGGGCCAGAGGGAGAGAACAATGAGGCTTGAAAAGTATGCAGCTACTTGTTGCAAGCACGCAGTGCTGTCGTCAGGAGCAGCTTTCGGCCTAAACTGTAGCTCGAATACATTAGCTGGCGCAGCGAGAACAGCTGCTAGCTTCGTTAGACTTGTGGTGAGCTGGCGACATCATTTCTAAGTGCGTCGTAGGCAGAGGTCGTTGCTATTTGTGTCCTGCCATATCTCTCACCTTCACCGGTGACCTACATTTGTGACCGGTGTGACCTTCACTGGTGACCTACATCTGGGCTGCGGCCGCGTTCTGCCCTTTCGACCGTATCGTTGTGCCCACTCATCCCGGCTTGATGTGCATGCGTGTTGGCGGTCGCTACGGCTAGAGCGCGCCTCTCAGTTGGCGCCCCCTTCCTTGACCTGTTGCGTGGCGGCTCTGCCCGGCGCCCGTGAGCGCGTGTCGCCGCCGACGCCCGGTCCTAGCCGCCCAGGACCGGACGCCGTACTCGGTGTTGTATCGTCTCGCTGGTGAACGCCGAGTGACTGGGCGTGGTCGTTGGAGAGGGCGTGTTCGTTCGAGGGGCGTGGTCGTTCGGGGGCGGTGCCGTGGCTGGCAGCGGCGGCCGCGACCTGGCTCGACGCTGCGTGTCCTTGGTGGCCGGTCAGTGGGCCTCGCTACCGCCTGGTGTTGGCGGCGGGTGACGCCGCCGCCGCCGAAGCCCGGATGGGAGAGCTGGTGCACCCTGTTTCCCGGGCGGCGGTTCGTTTGGCGTGCTCCGCGTGGTAGAGCAGAGTCCGTCGGTAGGTCGAACTTAGTCTCTAGGAGAGTACAATGTGGTTTGTGCGTCGCCTCGTCTGAGTGTTGATGTGTTTTTCTTCTCGCTGATCCTTCCCGTGCTCCTGCGAAAGCAATGTTTGAGTCAGTTGTCAATAAACGCAACGCAGCGTACCATAATGACTTGCAAATGCACGCAAAATATCCCATGTTTGGATATATTTCTGGCATTGCGCAGACACTTATTGCAGACAAACCGTACGCAACAAGAAGCGTCATGCCGCAACATCAAAAGCGCGCAGCTTCGGCTGCAGACGCCGTTGATCTGCGGCAGCTCTGGGCGGCTCCTCCGTGTCACCGGCAGCGGTCACGGAGGCCACAGATGTGGCGGTGGGCGACACGAACCGCGACGCGTCCTGACCGGTTACGGTCACGTGATCGGTCACGTCACGGTCACGTGACCGGTCATCACCTGGTCACTGCGAGGAGGGTGACCTCCGGGCTCTTCGCCGCACTTTTGTGGTTTCAGGGATGCGTGCCGCGCGGGAATTCATTCCATGTGAGATTACTCCGAGTCCTCAGACGTACAGGAGCCCAAATTTGGTAAGATGAGGCTCTCAAACCGACCAATACCCTTCGCGTTTGCACCAATGGTTGCCGGTAAACTGATAGCGGAGGCGTTCAGGCGGCGCAGTGCGGCCACTCCGATGATTTGAGTTCCTCACGAGAAGAATGGACCAAGAGGAACGCGTCAAAGACTGTAATGCACGACGGGGTGCGATCCACGACCGTCAACTAGCTGAGAGGAAGACAAATTTCGCTGCGCCATGGTTTCGCTCCGCCATGGTTCGCCTCGCCGGCCATGGTTTACGTCTCGTTGATCCATGATTAATCCGGCCTAGGCCAAGTCGCCTGGCTTTGACGTCTTCGAGAGCCCGAACGCCCAAGTGGGAACAAAATTGTGAGCCACTCGCCAAACGAGAGACAACGATGGCAGCGGTGCACGACGCTCAATGTCACGTGTCTAAACAGACTGCAATTGGCTCACGCTGGCCTCGCCAGAACCCTTCGCAGAGGAAGACCCCGTGCGCAGAGGCACAAAGCGACACAAAGGGGCTCAAAGGGGCCGCCGATGGGCGGCTCCTTTGAAGGTCATCCCGGACGACGGCGTTCGGGAAGTCGGCTGGTAACGGATTGCTCTGAGTTTGCGGGAGTCGCGGCGGTGGCGCGCGGGTCTGCGGGAAGGGAATTTCCGGTGTACTGATCGCTGGCCCGGTATGTGCCACTGCCTTCCGGTGCGCGCCACATTTGCCTTGGCCCAACCACTTTAAGGTGTCACATTTGCAGTGAAGCAAGTGCATGTTGGGGAAAATGGGCGAATTGCTGCTTACATCTTTCCGTGTTACTGTTCTGTCCGCTTTGTTTCATTTTGCAAAACGGGCAGGACTGGGGGGATCGTGAAGAAAGTGCCAGCCATAGACCTGCCAGTTGTCATGGCGACTGGTACTTGAGGACTTAACGGACTGGGTAAAATCATGGGCGCCCATATGGGATTGGCAATGGGCTGGGCTGCGTACGGATTTGGGGGAATTAAAGGTTGTAGGTGCGGGTATCGGCAAGAAATTCACCAAATTTCTGGTAGATACTTCCTGAAATACTATCCAAGATTACTGCTGCGCTTCGGTTATAATTAGCACCATACACACTCCTGTTGCAATCTTCAACGCAAAAGAATAAGTTTGGGCGTACGCTTTTCTGACACGTCTCTAAAATTGAGAACAAATGTGCCGACAAAAACAAACGGATGAGTGCACTGCAAAAAACGAACGCACGGGTAGAATAAGGGTAAAACTGATTGGTAATGGGTAGCGGGTGAGTAAAGACATAGCTTCGTAGGTGTCGTGAGTGGGTTGGATGCCAAAAGTTTTTCGTTTGAATGCCTCTAATTGACGCTAACGTTACTCATTTGCACTTCCTCAGTAAGTACCATCGCATCGGCAATGCATCATCGCGCAGTGAGCTTTGCATCGCTCCTGGTCACGCGCCGTAGACTCAGACTGGGAGGAGGGCGTCACATGACATGGACGAGTCCGCTGAGGCGTCGGTCGTCTCAAGCTCCGACGCGTCGTTGCGGAGACGAACAACCTGTGCGTACGTCGCCGCCTCGCATAAAACCGTAAAAAAATCCAAGCAGAAGACCGCAGAAGTTTGAAGCAGAGGATCGCAGAATCTTTTGGATCGCAGAAGTTCGAAACAGAAGACCGCAGAAGTTTGAGGCAAATGACCGCAGAAGTTGGAAGCAGAAAACCGCAGAAATTGTCACGTAGAGGACTGCAGAAATTCGAAGCAGAAGACTGCAGAAGTTCGGAGCAGAAGATCACAAAAACTCCCAGCAGAAGACCGCAGAAATTCGAGGCAGGAGATTGAAGAGGTTCGAAGCAGAAGACCACAGAAATTCTAAGCAGAAGACCGCAAAATTCGAAGCAGAAGACCGCAGAAGTTCCCAGCAGAAGTTGGTACTGCGGCGCGCCGTGCGGTCTGCGCCGCCGCGGCCGGGTGGTCCCGGCCGACGAGACGCCCGTCGGCGGCACGGCGGCGGCCGGCGGCCCCGTCGCGCCGCGCTGGCTCCGCCGGGTGGTCCCACTCCGTCACCGATCGCGCCCCCGCCGTCACCGATCGGCGCCCCCGCCGTCACCGATCGGCGTCCCTGCCGCGAGCCCAGGCGGAGGCCGGCCCAGAGAGCGAGACACGGCGAACCCGCTGCGAGAGCGGCTCAGGGCCGGCCCAGGCCCGCAGCCGGCACGAGGCGCGCTCCTCCGATGCGCTAGACGGTGCCGATCACTTACTGTGCACTGGTGAGTGATGACAGCACGTACTGCTCCGAGGACGTTGCTACAGTATGTGGGCATGCGCCGCGTGCATACACGCGTTAACATGTGGTTCCGGTGCATCTCCTGCGATGAGACACACTTTTGAACCTAAATTCTTTTCGTATCGGATTATGGGTTTAAATCCGCATTAGACAAGTCGGGCGAGACAAAAGGTTGGGGATCCAGACCTTCCGTAGGTTTCAAATGTGTAGCACTAGGCCTGGAACGCTTACTGAATGTTTGGGACCCCACAAAGGCCTTGAAACTACTCTGCTATGAGCCAGGCCTCCAGCCACGGTGTCAAAACCAGGTTCATGGCCTCCGGTTCCAGCTGCAGCGGTGCCGGTTCAATTCAGGTTGCAGCAGAAGCCTCGCTGCGGTTCAAAGGTTCATTTCTTTCTTATTTTGTCCTGCTCGTCTTGTTTCGTCTGAGAAGTTCCCTCGTACTAGGCCAATGGCTGTGTGAGTCGACCATGGCCTTGCTCTTCGAGCATCTGTTAACATGCTTAGCGCGAGCCTGAAAGACTTCAAGCACCAACACAATCTCAGCGCACTCTAATGCGTGCTAGACATTGAGCTCGAAGAAATGTGTGAAGCAGTGTCATGCGCTGCAGTCTCCCATGATGTCGCGCTGCATCTGCTGGTGTCCAACATCAGTTGACATTGTACCACGGCTTCTGGATCGGGAAGTGATCATTTTCCACAACAAATGCATAACTGGTGTGTCAAGTGGTGGCAATCATTAAGCTCAACGGACGTGAAGTCGGATCACTTTCCACGGCATAACAGATGATGATAGATGCGTGATAGATGATGCCGCGTGATGCGCGATGGTAGATTCATGATTGCATGATGGCAGAATGAGCGTATCGACGGAAGTTTTCGTGCAGACCCCCTATCATGATTTGCGAGCCTGCAGAAAAAGACTTCAAGGTCCTATTTGCAGCTGCCATTTTCTGAAATCTGTTGGGCCTGCCAAAAAAAAAAATGCATGCGAGAGTGCCAGAAGCTTTTGCCCGCAGTCTTGAGCTTGAGCAGCGCTTGCCGTGGGCATCGTTTCTGTTAACAGAGATACAGGAACGGAACTGCCAAAAGGGCCGGGCGATGACCAGTGTGGGGATCCCAGGGGACGGTAAATATCTGTAGATGTCACAGTTGTTTCTGCGGCGATCAGACAACATGAGCTATGTTTCGCCTGCAACCACCTTAAGCCTCGCCATGTGAAGGGCCTTAAAGGCCCCCTAAGCCCCCCTTAATTTTGTTCCGGAATACCTCCCGAACAGTTTTTAGCGCGGTGCTGGCATTTTTTGTAGCTGAGTTTAGGTTTTTTTGACAAGTGGCGAGAATTGTGAGGTTTTTGACCTTGACCGCTCGTGATCTGCAACCTTTCTATTGAGGTCAGCTCGCTGACATTGTGCTCAAAAGTGATGAAAACACCTATTCGTAACCAGAATTTGCTGGCAAATCTTTTCTAGGCTACTTCCGCTTTGCCCCACTCTCTCCGAAGTGCATTGCTTTCATTTTCGTGACTTTTACAGTCAGGTCATCCAAGGCCAAAACATATCGAACTTTGACCTACGTGACCAGATTTGATCCTTAAAAGGGCACAAGACTCAAACCTAATGGCACACACCCTAGAGCATTAGAAGGCTTCCTCAACGGAATTTCCCCCTTTTTATGTATCTTGATCGGCTCTTGATGCAGCCGACCGGGCCAGTACAACAACGGCTTTAATCCCTTAGACCTGGCATGATATTTCGTATGCCGCATGTAGCAATATTCATTACTGTTAACTTATAGAGCTTTCCAACATCTACATCACGCCGTCTTCCGCATTATTGTAGCATGGCTAGCCATTGAGGTTACAGGCAGGATTTATACAGCGCTAATTTGATCATTAGGGCCTGATTTGACCCGCCCAAGGCCGCATTAATCCCTTTTCGATCACACACACACTTTTCTGATGCGATTTAACGAGGGCTTTCCAATGTCATTTTCCCTTGCAGCTTAGTGTGCCTAGAAGTCGAGATCTTAGCGGAGAAACTTTGTACCCCGACGCCTGCAGGGCGTTTTGAGATGCCAAAAATCTGGGCGTCATCTACAATTTGAACTACCGCTGCCCTCCCTGGGAGCAATCAAGCTCAGGTCATTAGTAAATATGCAACAGAGCAGTGGCCCTAGGACGGATTCCAGGAAAACGCCTCTGTTATTTGGCAGCTTTGCAGAGCGTTTACCACGACTCGGGACCTCGGTGTCCTGAGAGCACACGGAGGGCTCGGAGCACGCACCGAGCTGAGAGCACGC